ACGTCAGCCTGTGAACCAGAGACTGATGCTGCTGCTTACTGTGACAAATAGCTTGTGACAGCTTGTCAGTGGTCACCGCAACTGTGAGCACCATCACCCAGTACTTGGCGATACAGGCACAGCTGAATTGCTCCCTTTCCCCTTCCTCCCAGCAAACATATACCCTTCTGAAATGATTCATGTGTCCCTGTGATACCAATTCCTTACTTCCCTTGTGATGAGGTCATTAGTAGGTGATGAGGAAGTTAGTAGGTGTCTACCTGCTCTCGTATGTTGCTGTCATCAGCATGCAAATGTTTTAGACATTCTAGCAGAGCTCTTCAGCCTTTGAGGATATTGCTGAGTGGTATTACTCTGGGGTCCAGGGGAGATTAAGTTTTTCCATCTACTCTGTTTTGTGGATAACATGTAGGTTTTGGTTTCTAGAACCCAACTGAAGTTGAACACATTTAACACAAATTACCTCATCCTATCCTACGCTGACAAATGTAGGTGTACATACTCAAGTGGTCTCTTGACAAATGTGCATGTATATAGCACCCTGGCTCAAAGCCTTGCAGAGCTGATGTACATGGAGGTGGTCACTGCTGTACATTGTGGAGTTGATGAAGGTGATGTACGTTGCGTTATGTCTCAGGTGGATCTGAGATGTTTTGTAAAATCTATTGCATTTTTTTCTCTGCAGGAATAACTAAACAAACTTCTTTCCCAAGAAGTGAACAAATACTGTTTTTATAACTATTACTTTGTTCTGTATGTTACTTAAACATGACAATTTGTTAGCACACAAAGTGTGAAATGCAGACATGAAACAGGCTATTGACCACTTGGATACAATTTCACATTTTAAAAACATTTATTGTCTGATGTTGATAACATAAAAACGTGAACAACGTGAGAAAACAAGATGAATTTTGTAGACTGAGATGTAGCTAATGTAATGATAGCCATTTTGATTTGTTGCTGCTTCCAGCATGAAGTTTAGTCTGCTAGCTACTTCAGGAAGGTTAAGGAAAAAAGAAAGATCAACAGTTGCATTGACATTTCTTGTGAATAATCAGCTTTAATATCAAGGACAATGGAAGTAATGTGGGAAAAGCGAATAAAAGACTATGGTGGTGGAGAGGCTTGTCATGTAAGCTGCAAATTGCTTAATTTATGGGGGATGGTGTAGCATATCTCATGTTAGCTATAAATATGTGGCAGCTAATATGAACTAAAAATCATCGTGAAGGCCACAGGGAAGCTTGTAGCTCTCAGAAAACTTAGCATGTCGAAATAAAACCTGAGGGTCTCCATAGTCTTGAGTTGCTGAGGGACTTACGAATATTAATAGATGTCTTTCATTGGGGTAGGACTTGCGGCAATTAAAAGAACATCACTGCTGGAAGAAGCCCAGTGGATCATCTGTTCCTTCTGCATGGGACCTTGTCTATAAAGGTAAGTTTGGGGCTTGGGGCTTGTAACTCAAAAAAACAAAGCAGAAAAAAACATAATAGGTGCCTTATTCAGCATCTGTTAAGTTTTTACAGCTATGTTGTGTAGCCTAAGGCCCCAATTTACCTTTACAGATGAGGTCCATGCAAGAACATAGGTAATCTGACTGTGGCCTTGTCCTGACAGTGATGTTTTAAAGTTCCTTTCTTGAGAAGCCTTTAGGAAGAGGGGGAGGGGAAAAAAAACCTGCTACCGCTTAGGGTGTTTGGAAGGCATGTAACATTAACTGGTAAGTATGATTTCCATCTTACTTTATTGAAATGGAGAGGCTACAGTAATTTAAGCAATTAATAGATTTCAAATCAGGGAAATGGTTACTTTAAAACTGCATTAATAAATTCCTGTGACCTATTATTCTTTTTACTACAGGAGTAAAGATCAGCAGCCTGCTTGGTAAAAAGGGGAGCTTGGAGAAACTGCAGAGCTATTGGGAAGTGGGATCTTTCTTGGGGGCCAGTATGTTGGCTAATGACCATATAAGAGTGATCCAGGCTTCAGAAAAGCTGTTTAAGCTAAAGGCACCAGCATGGTAAGGTGATAAACGAGATCACATGCATTGCTATGTATTAAAATGTTGGACTCCTTCACCTTTCATATTTGACATTGTATTTAGTTGACAGGAGATTGTTGGTTTTTTTTAGCAGGTTTTGCTGTCTGAGTACTGTTTCACTGCACTTTTACCCAGACAAGAGACTCTTTCACGGTTGCCCGA